TGAAGAATACTTAAAACATTTACTGATGAATATCAGAGAGCATAGCCTTCAGCATGGATTGCATCTCAATATAAAGATAACAAAAATCCTCACCTCTGGACCAATAAACAACATTATTATCAATGGAGAAAAGATTGACGTTGTCGAGGACTTTATTCTTCTCGGATCAACTATCAACTCTCATGGAAGTAGCAGTCAAGAAATCAAACAATGTATTGCATTAGGCAAATCTGCTGCAGAAGACCTTTTAAAGTGTTGAAGAGCAAAGATGTCAGCTTAAAGACTAAGGTGCACCTGATTGAAACCATGGTATTTTCAGTAACCTCATATGCATGTGAAAGCTGGGCAGTGAATAAGGAAGACTGTAGAAGAATAGATGCTTTTGAGCTATGGTGTTGTAGGAGAATATTGAAAGTATCATGGGCTGCCAAAAGAACCAACAGATACGTATTGGAAGAATTGTAGCCAGAGTGCTCCTTGGAGGCCAGGATGGCCAAACTTCATCACTTATACTTCGGACATATTGTCAGGAGGGACCAGTCGCTAGAGAAGGATATCATATTTGTTAAGGTGTTGGGTCAGAGAAAAAGAGGAAGACCCCCAGCAAGAGGGATGGCAAAGTGGCATCATCAATGGGCTCAAGCATGGCAACAGTAGTGAATTTGGCCCAGGATTGGGCAGTGTTTCGTTCTGTTGTGCATAAGGTCACTATGAGTCGGTACCAAATCAATGGCACCTAACAACAACCAGGGCATTTTCTGTTTCATCTAAATACTGTAATTTGTCACAGAGTTGTTCATAATTCCTTATTTTTTTTTCCTTTCTATAATGTCTCTGATAATATCTCCTTTTTCATTTCTGACTTTGGCAATTTGTGTTTTCTCTCCTTTTTTCGTGGTGAGTCCAGCTTAGAGTTTGCCAGACTACTGTCATTGGGCCAAATTGTCCTCCCAATTTTTGAGGAGAGGGAGGAGTAAATAAAGTTCTGTTGGATTGCAGCCATGCCCATTTGTCTATGTGTCATTGTGAATGCTACCACTGTAACAACTAAGTGAAATAGTTACAGAAGCAGCAACATATGTCTCAATGCTGAAAATAATTATTATCTAGCCCTTCACAAATTGAATTTGCTAATACTTGGCCTAGATAAAAGTTCATTAGTTATATTCACTCTTCTTTCCCAAGAAGCAACTTAAATTTAATTCATATTCTCTATCTTATTTTTGTGGGTGTTTTATTTCCTATTTCATTGCTTTCTGCTTGGCTTTTGATTATATCTTCGTTTCTATATCACTGTTTTGATTTGTTCTTCTTTTCCTGTTTTTTAAGGTATAACTTTAGCATATTGATTTTACATCTTCCTTTCTGATGTAAGTGGGTAAAGTCATAAATCTCGCTCTAAGTACTGCTTTAGCAGCATTCCATATCATTTTATGTGTTACGGTATTGTTTTTATTCAGTTTATTATTTTCTAATTTTTTCTTTGAATCCTGGATTATTTTGAAGTGTGTTGCTTGAGTTTCAAATATTTGGAAAATTTTCAGATTTCTTACTATTGGAGATTTCTGATTTAATTTATTTGGTTGGAGAAATGTGTTACTTCCTGTCAAATTAATTCCAACTCCTGGTGACCCATGTATGCAGAGTAGAATTGCTCTATAGGGTTTCAAAGCTGTTACCTTCCAGAAATGGATTGTCAAGCCTGTCTTCCAAGAGTGGGTTCGAACTGCCAGTCATTTGTCAGGTAGTTGAACAATTAACCATTTACCCCACTCCAGGTCTGAGGAATATGTAGAGCCTAGATTTCCAAATTTATTTGGAATTATCTCTTTAATCAATCTTATGTTTCTTTTTCCCTCCCTTTCTCTTTTTCACCAATCTTTTTTTTTGTCCAACTTTCCCATAAGCCTCTAATTAATAGTCATGTCCTGATGTGGTGCTATAGATTAATGTGGGTTAAAGGTTGGTTTGAACCACAAGGTCGGTGGTTCAAGCTCACTAGCCACTCTTCAGAAACCCTATATGGGTAGCTATGAGTCGGTAACGACTCAATGGTACTTAACAATAACAATAACAACATTACATATATGTGGAGTCCTAGTGTGGTGCTGTGGGATGAGCACTGGGTTCGTAACCCTCAATGTTGGTGGTTCAAACTCACTAGCAGCTCCTTAGAAACCCATACAGGGTGTCTATGAGTTAGAACTGACTCGATGGCACTCACTGACTGATCTAGGGGAAAAGATAATGGCAAGTAGGTCACAAAATCCAGCCATTCTTCCCAGATGTTCAAAGACTTGTTTCAACTATAAGCAATTCTCTGTGGACAGTCTCTGTCAGCCTAGAATGACTGATATTTAAAAAAAATATTTTTGTCTACTTTATGTATATTGGTTTATACATGTGTGGAGAGGAATCACTGGTTTTTTTCATATTGCCATTACCTTTAATCATGTTTTGAATAGCAAAGGCGAAACATTTTGTAACGTAAGATAGCTTCATTGTTTGTCAGATTATATCTAAATGTTTTCAACACAATGGACTGCTGCCACTTCTTCATTTCACTATTACTATAAGTAATCATCTGTTCTATCTGTTTTGACATGGGTGGTGGAGGTTGGTGGTTATGTGCTGTTGAGTCGGTTCCAACTCATAGTGACCCTTTATAGAGCTTCTCAGGCTTTTAATCTTTACATGAGCAGAATGCTTCATCTTTCTCCCTAGGAGTGACTGCTAGATTTGAACTACTGACCTTATGATTAGCAGCCCAACTTGAAACCTACTATATTGCCAGGGCTCCTTGTTTTGTTTTGTTATTTTTTACCTTTTTTTTTTATTGTGAATTAAGTGAAAGTTTACAGAGAAGATCATAAGTGTTTTATGAAACAAATCATGCACTTTGTTTCATCTCAATGATTACAGTCTTTCCCATGCAAAAGCAGTTATCCTTCCTGTGGTTTTTATTTCCATTCCTCCGACCTTCCCATCCCTTCTCAAATGTGCTCTTAGGTAAATGTTGCCCTTTTGATCTTGAATAATTGACCATTCCATGGTGAGCATACCTTACTAGTGATGTTGTCCCTCCTACATGCCTATCGACTGCTTGTGTGAAAATTGGGCCATGAGGGTGAGTTCCATTCCAAGCCTGAAGGGATGTTGAGGGCTTTCTCCAGTCTCTTTCTGACTAATAAGCACAATCTTTTTTATTTTTTATAATTTTGAGTTTTGTTCCACTCTAACCAGGACGTTCAGAGCAGTTGGTAGTGGTAGCTGGGTACCATCCAGTTCTCAGAGTTGTGATTGGTGTTCAGCTGCCGCATTGGTCCATTTGACTAGTTGATCCCAAGTAACTTCAATTTTTACTGCTCTTCTTTCTTCTGCACATGGAGAGACCAATAGCTGTACCAATAGATGAACACTCATGAGCTTTTAAAATCCCACTCACTACTTACCAAAGTAGAATGTAGAATATTGTCTTTGTGGACTATGGTATGCCAACTCACCATTGTGTCCAGGGCGCGTTGTTTTATAATTAATCCTAAGTATGTACTTGAGACATGACAACCAAGGTAGGTAATAAAAATTAGTGTATAGAAATAATCTCATAAAATAAAATAATGTACACATGTTGATAGAAACAGAAAGTTAAATTGCCTAAATATGTACACCTTGCAAAATTGGGAATTCAGTTGGTGTTATAATTCAGCCACCAGTGGTATGAGACTGTTTTCAGCAATTTCAGCTTTGTGACTATAGGAGATAAGGTTTTCTGTCAGGGCACACATTTATATGGTTCTTGAGCTGAGAATTTGAAGTCCTAAGCTCAATCTTTTCTACTTTGCCAGTTAAAGTAGGAGTACCCAACCAAGGTCATATTTTAAAGTTAAAACAAAAAAAAATAAGTTCTAGGGAATCAAACACATAATCACCTTGAACCTTGCCTCTCATAAGTATTTGATCAGAAGTGTTCAGTGGTGATATTTTGTACATATATACCTGGCGGTGCAGTGGATTAAGCATTGGACTGCTAACCCCAAACTCAGCATTCAAACCCACCAGCCATTGCATAGGAGAAAGATGAGACTGTCTGCTCCCATAAAGATTTATAGTCTTGAAGCCCCTAGGGAGCAGTTCTACTCTGTCCTATAGAGTTGCTATGGGTAACATTCAACTTGATGGCAGTGAATATTGCCGTATCACACCATAGACTATCAGTGCCCTTTTTACTGTGGGAAATAGTCATTAGTGCCTGTAAATAAAATTGAAAACCAATTCCATAAACTCTAAGACCAATTTAAAAATTTCATCTGTAAGATTCTGTTAAAATTCTATTCTTCTAGGACTACTGTCATTATTAAGTGTTTTCGTCAAGCTTCTCTAGAGAAACAGAACCAGTGAGAGAGAGAGAAGTAGAGAAACGGAAAGATTTACTTTAAGGAACTGACTAATACATTTGTGGGGCTTGGCAAGTCCAAAATTTATGGGTCAGGTAACAGGCTGCAGATTCCTATTGGCTTGTGTCCTAAAATAGTTCAGGTGATGTTGTTAAATGCCATTGAGTCCGTTTTGACTCATAGTGACCCTTTATATGGTTTCCAATGAGCAGCTGATGAGTTTGAATCACCAACCTTGAGTTTGAATTGACCTTGTGGTCGAGTGATTATCTCGAGTACCCCACACCAGGACTCCAAGTCAGGTGATAGGAACAGTGAAAAAAAGAGTTCTTCTAAAATATTTATAATCTAGAGGCAGAACACACCACACCCTAGAGTACATTCTATCATATAGCTAAACCCAAACCCATTCCTATGGAGTTGATTCCAACTCATTGCAACCCTATAGGGCAGAATAAAATTGTTCCACAGGGTTTCCAAGACTAGAAATCTTACAGAAGCAGACTACCACATCTTTTTCCCACAGAGCAACTGGTAGCTTCAGACTGCCAACATTTCATTAGCAGCCCAACATTTAACCCACTGTGCCACCAGGTATTCTGTGTATGTATGTAGTAGACAAATTCAGAGATGAAAAGTAGAATAGAGGTTACCAGGAACTAGGGGAAGGTGTAATGTAAATAGAGTTTCTGTTTGGGAATAGTAGTGATGATTACCTAACATGGAGAATACACTTAACACCACTGAACTGTACGTTCAAAAACAGTTAACAAGATAAATTTTATATTATGTATATTTTATCACAGCTTCAAAAAAAAAAAAGACTTAAGAGTGAAAAAATACATTTTACAGGCTCAGCCTTTTAACTCAGTAAGACATGATGCCATAAACCAAGTATGTCAATAAGTTAGTTTAAATAAGAATTAGAATTTTTCTTATAGAAAAAAATCTATTAACAAAGTAAAAAAAAAAAAAAAAAAGGAAAAAAAAATAAAACTTTTGGACTAAAGAGATATCTAATTTCTTTGACATACAAAGAGACCTTTCAAATCAGTAAGAAAAAGATGAATGATTTCCCCCCCACCCCCCCAAAAAAATACTAAAGAATATGAACAGGTAGTTTACAGAGGAAGAAGTACAAATAGTAAATATGCTTCTAAAAGATGTTCAGGCTTCAAAAGAAATTCAGATTAAAACAATTACAACATTTCATTTTTCAGCTGTGGTGTTGGCAAAAATTAAAAAAAAAAAAAAGTCAAAGTATTGGAGGAAATAAACTTTTTTATTGCTGAAATATATATATCAGAATTTGAAATACACATGCCATTTTACCCAGCAATTCCAAGTGTTTGAATTAATATATAAGCTCAAAGATATTCATGATGATTTCATACATTGTTTGTAGCAGCAAAAAATTGGACACAACCTGCATGCCATTAATGGAGAACTGTTGTACTCTATCAAATGGAAAACCATTTGGAAAGAGTGAGGTAGTGCTATATATGTAGTGATACAGAAGGAGGTTCATGACATACTACATTTGGTAAAAAAAAAAAAAAGCAAACTTTTTCCTTAGGTATTTTATCTGATTGTTTGTGAGTCAGCAGAAAATATCAAGAAGGATATATACAAATCTCTGAATAGTGATGGTCTTTGCGAAGTAAGGTTGGTGTGAGGAGGAATTGGGAAGTATGTTTTTCCAAACCACTCATTACTTTAAAATAACAAACTTACATTAAATTTATATTTTAAAAAATTTATAATAACATGTAAACTAATAAATTAAGAATTATATTTATAATAGAAAATGATACCAAAACATTTTTTGGGTTTGTTTGCAATTTAATTGTTAAAAGTATGACCATTACTTTACAGAGAGCAAAGGAGATGCTTTTCTATTAGCTGGGGACTATGTATAAATGAATGGCTTTATTCTTTGAAAATTTGAAACCTCTTTTAAAGCCATAACCTTGTTGAACGAGTCCTGTATTGTATATATGTAGCAAGTTAAAGCTCTCTATCATTGGGGAAAGGAAAGCTTAATCATCATCTACATAATATAAGTATTTTCTTAGCTATTATCATATTTCATTTAAAATAATACTGGGTTAAGGAATAGAAATTTATTCTAATTAAATTGGGTTGAACAATATGAAGTTTCAAATCAAAAGAAACACTGTGGAAATCTTAGCCAGAGCTATAAGGCAAGATAGAGAAATTAAAGGTATCCAAATTGGCAAAGAAGAAGTAAAACTCTATTTGCAGATTATATGATCCTATACATAGAAACCCAAAAAATCTCAGCAAAAAACTTACTAGAATTCATTGGAAGATTCAGCAAGGTGGCAGGGTACTATATTGACATAAAAAATCAGTCAGATTCCTCTATATTAATAATGACAGCACTGAAAAGGAAATTAGGAAAGCAATACCATTTACAGTAGCTGTCCAAAAGATGAAATATTTAGGAATAAATCTAACCAGAGAAACAAATGACCTATACAAAGAAAGTTACAAAACACTACTAGAAGAAACCAAAAGAGATTTACAAAAATGGAAGAATATACCATGTTCCTGGATAGGAAGACTTAACATTGTGGAAATGTCAATGCTACCCAAAGCAATATACAGAGATAATGCAATCCCAATCCAGATTTTAACAATATTCTTTAAAGAGATGGAAAAAACAATTACAAACTTTATATGGAAAGGCAAGAGTCCCCAAATAAGCAAAGCCCTGCTTAAGAAGAAGAACAAAGTTGAAAGCCTCTCAGTCCCTGATTTCAAAATTTACTACATAACTACAGTGGTCAAAACAGCCTGGTACTGGTACAATGAAAGATACATAAATCAATGGAACAGAATTGAGTATCCAGAAATTAACCCGTCCATATACAGCATATGAATCTTTTACAAAGGGCCAAAGAACATTGAATGGGGAGGAGATAGTCTCTTCAACAGACGGTGCTGGCAAAACTAGAAATTGATAAGCAAAAGATTGAAACAGACCTTTATCTCACATCATATCCAAAAACCAACTCAGCATGGATTAAAGACCTAAATATAAATCCCAGAATTATAAAGTTCATCAAGGAAAAAATAGGGACAAATTTAAGGGTTCTAATACAGGGCACACATAAGACTGCCAAACATTGCGAGAATTGCACAAACAGAAGACAAAATAGATGATTGGGACATACTTAAAATTAGAAACCTATGTGCATCAAAAGGTTTCACCAAAAGAGTAAAAAGGGAGCCCACAGAATGTGAAAAAATATTTTGCAATGACATGTCAGACAAAGTCTCTAAAAACTATAGGAAATTACAACACCTCTAAGAAAAAAAACGTGGCATCAGGATTGGA